CTGCAGGCTGGGCCTCCTGTGGGCGACGGTGAGGGAGCTCAGGAGGAGGTACTCGCTCACCGAGAAGTCTTCGAATCTCTCCTTCGTCACCCACTGTGCAACGCCGATCATGTCCGCTTCCTTGCGAGAGAGAGCATTAATTCTTACTTTGATAGGTCTTGAATCATTATTCTTTATTGTTTATTATTACTTGGATTATCACTAGTTTTATTCATTATTCACACAACGATGCCCACTCACGCCTCTGTGCACAAGTCCGTTCAAGCCGTTCCACGACCCATTGGGCTGCCTCAGTCCGTAGGCTCGGTCGGGGGAGCGCACGAACGTGTAGCTGCGCGGGAGGGAGCGGTCGGGTCCCGGATGACGAGAGGAGGAGCAGCGTTGTGTTTTGTTTGTGACTTAATATGTATAGTGTTGGTTTTTGATGGTATGTACATTCTCGAAAATAGCCCAAATCACATGGAATGATAAAACTGTGGTCAATCGATCATTTAAAATATATTTTAGGTATAAGAATTAGTATTGTCTATTTGCGTTTAGTTTTCCTCCTTTTCATAAGAGCATTAGAATACATTTCCACCCAAAACCTACTTTCTTATGAGCACCATGATTAACTATCCACCATAGTGGTAACTCTCACCAGTAGCCGAGGTGGTTTAGAATGATCTTCAGAACACTTGCTATGTAGCCCACCGCCTGCAGGTTGTCGTCGGGCCCGAGAAACTCTACCTGCGGCTGCCACTGTGCGGGAGACAAGGAGTTCCTCGTCACCTTCGGGAGGCGGCGGTTCGGCTCGTAAACGTTTTATTAGTCTGCCGCGCCAAGTGGATACATATCACTCTGATTATGCCTTAGTTGCGTAATCCTAGTTTCAGCAGGGATCTTGTTTTTTATATGTATTAGGAATATTAGTGTGCCCATTACTTTCTTATGGATGCTGGCGACATAGTTCTCAAATATCATGAATAAGCTGTATATATATATATATATAATATATATTATAATATATATATATATATATATATATATGATATATATATATATGTATGTATGTATGTATGTATGTGTGTGTGTATATATATATATATATATATATATATATTATATAATATATATATATCTATATATATATATATCATATATATATATATACATATATATATATATAATATATATATATATAGATATATATATATATATATATATATATATATATCTATATATATATATAGATATATATATATATATATATAGATATATATATATATATATATATTATATATATATATGTATATATATATATATGTATATATATATATATATATATATATTATAATATATATATAATATATATATATAATATATATATATATATAGTATATATATATATATATATATAATATATAATATATATATATTATATTATATATATATATATATATATATACATATATGCAGCTGGACAGCCTAGATTCAATTTGGCCTCAACATAGAGCTTCCAGTTATGGTGATCAGATGAAACAGCTTTAAATAACAAAAAAAACAAAGGCTGGAGCATATTATCTAAGATTCGAGGGAAGGGTGCCTTCGCAGACCTACAACACCGCTGTATTATATATACACACATATATATACATGTATGTGTGGACGTGTATATATTGATATAAAGATGTAAAACAGAAGAAAGACAGATGAAAGAAATGAAACCCCCTTCCACCAATAAAGCACAAGCTAGGGACGGGGAATTGACTTAACTCACAATTTCCACTCCAACGACGAGGCACCTCGGGTCCTTAGCAGCCATTTTCCTCCCAGAGTGACATCGACCGTCCTAGTGAGTGGCCGGAGAAGAATTGGCTTTGTTTGCCGACGGACCTTCACGCCACACCTTTTCACCGAGCGAGAAATGTCGAAAATTAAATCGAAAGCTAATCACAATATTTACGGGATATGTCGGGAATGTCAACGAAGGGATCTATCAGCGCTCCTTTTTAGGTCTCTGTGTTGGCCTTCGCATTTAGATTAGATAGGTGCAGATGTGAAAACACTTCATATTCATGGCGTGATCGGAAGTGAATTAATATTGTTTTGAACATATATACCCTTGTTCAGTGTAACATGTGATGAATGCGACAGTAGGATAGCATGCTGATGTATACTTGCATAGTGCACGTTGACGTATAAACACAGTAAACACAGTTATATACACAGTAAAGTGTATGTAAACTAATCATAGTTCTTTTAGCTTCCTTAAGGGGATAAACCGATAACATATTCATTATTATTTGACAGTATGATTTTGATAACTGGTCAAGAACACTTGGTATGAAATACATGGATTCTTGAATTGTGCACGCGTCATGGATGTGGAGAGAGACACACAGACAGACAGACAGACGGATAAAGCGAGAGTGTGAGAGAGAGAGAGAGAGAGAGAGAGAGTGAGAATAAGAGAGAGAGAAAGATCAATCCTCTTAATCAAGGAACACGAATGACCGCACAATGAAGAACCTCCCAAAACTATACGAATAAAAATATGAATCCCATTAGCTGAAATGGCACAAGTTTCGTGTGTAAATTTCGCGTGCATTTGTTCCGTAACTCTGGAAATGACGGATGCTTGACAGTATCGGAATTCGGGGCCAGAAAATGCTTCTCCGCTTCTCATTTTCTCCGAGCTGAATCAGTAGAATTTCTCCAATTCCACCATCAACGTGTTTCCTGAACTTCGGGAAAAGATCTTCAAATCAATTAAAGTTGACAGTATTTATCAAGAATATTTCTGTTATTGCTGACATATTTATTCTTTTATCATGTTCTTATTTTTATAATTATACTTTTTTTAGTGATAGTACTAGAGGTAATATATATTTTTTTGCGTTTTGCCTTGTTTTGTTCTTTATTATGTGTTTTCTGTAATCTTGTTTTTATCACCAATATCTGTAGTATCACTGTTATTACCGGTGACACTGCTAGCATTCAAGTCAAAGTTGGTCCCATGTCCATGCGAACGTAGGGGATATGTTTGCAGAGAAACATGCCTACTAGGCCGCGGGATGATGCGGTAGGGTGGCCAGTTCCTTTCCGCCCCGACCTTGACCCCAACATGCTGACGTCAGCATATCAGTACTCATTCACAGCTGAGTCGACTGAGAGGGACGGCGGCCGGGCGCGAACCTAGGACCTTGCGATTGCAAAGCCACCGCTCTACCACTGAGCTATGCCACCCTCACTGATAGCGTTACCAACACCATAATGCTTATCTGTCAGTTCATAATACCACTGTAATACCGGTCGCATCACTAGTACTAAGATCTACAGCACCAGCATTATTTGTATTATCATGATTATTATTATTACTATCATTATTGATATACTTGTTATAATTATTACTGTCATTGTAATCATTATGATTATGATTATTATCGTTATTATTATTATTATTGTTATTAATGTTATTTCTATTAGTAGTAGTATTATTAGTATTAGTAGTATCATTATCAATACTATTATTACTATTATTTTCATTATCATTATCATTATTATTATTATTATTATTATTATTATTATTATTATTATTATTATTATTATTATTATTATTATTATAATTGTTATTATGATGATTACGCTTATGCCTGTGATAATCATCAGCATCATCATCATTATCATTATTGTTTTTACATTCATTATCATTATCATCATTGTTATTATCATTATTGTTATAATTATTGTTATTACTATTATTATTATCATTATCATCATTATTGTTATTATTATTATTATTATTGTCATCATCATCATTATCATTATCACTATCATTATTATCATTATTATTATTATTATTACTATGATTATTATTATTAATATTAGTAGTAGTTATAGTAATATTATTATTATTATCATCATCATCATCATCATCATCATCATCATCATTATTATTTTCATTATCATTATCATTATTATTAGTAGTATTAGTATTAGTATTAGTATTATCATCATTATTATTATTATTATTATTATTATTATTATTATTATTATTATTATTATCATTATTATTATTATAATTGTTATTACTATTATCAGTAGTGTTATAATTACTATTGTTTATTGTTGCTGTTACTATTAGTATCATTATTTTATTATTATCATCATTGTAATAATAATTCTCATTGTTATTATAGTTTGTATTACTATTATCATCATCATAATCATTATTATTACTATTATTATTATTATCTTTATTTTTATCATTACCATTATCATTATGAACATGATTATTATTATCATTATCATTACTATTTTAAATATCATCGCGGTCGCTGCTGTTATTATTATTATCATTGTTATTGTTATCATCATCATCATCATCATCATTCTTATTTTCACCATTATTTCTAGCAGTAGTAGTAGTATCATTATCATTATTGTCTTTATCATTATCGTTATTATAATTATTATTATTAACATCTTTATCATAAATATCATTCACTATCAGTATCATTATCATCCTTATCATTATTATTGATGTTATTAACATTATTATCACCATCATTATTATTATATTATTATTATTATTATTATCTTCATCTTCATCTTCATCATCATCATCTTCATCATCATTATAATCGTTATAATCATTATAATTATTGTTATTCATATTTCTTTAATAATATTATCATTATTATTGTATTAGTTATTGTATTGATTATTATTGTTATTACTATCACTATTATTATTACAATCATTTTTATTATCATTATTAATTGTAGTAGTTGCAGTAGTTATCATTTTCATTGTTATTGGTATTAGTATTATCATTATCATCATCACTATTATCACCACTCTCGTAATCATTCTTATCATTATTTATCATTATTATCATAACCATCACTACCATCCTTACAATAACAGCTGCTACTATTAGTATCATTTCCGTATTATCACTATTGTACTTTTACTATTATTACTGATGCTGTTATCTTTATTATAATCCCTTGGTT